TTGGGCCAATATATTTTGAGATGGCATTTTCGTAATTATTTGAGCAATTTTTTTTCGAAAGGCCATTTTCCTTGGATTTAGAAGGATAAAGATGGTGAATTCGGCCATAGCCTATTCTTCAACGACGATTAAGTCCATCCAGGGCCAATTCGGGTGGATTTCTTCCGGGTTCATTTTTGGCAGACTCTAAAGAGGTACCATCACAGATGTCGGGCAATTTTTCCGAAATGCCAATTTCTTTCGTATTTGGAGGCTACTGATCACGGATTTCGGCTCGAGGCTATTCTCCACCGATAATAAAGTTTATTGATCCTATTCTGCGTCGATGATTAAGTCAATTAAGCACCGAATTGGTCCAATATATTATGGGATGGCATTTACGTAATTATTTGAGCAATTTTTTTCGAAAAGCCATTTTCCTTGAATTTTGAAGGATAAAGATGGTGGATTCGGCCTGAGGCTATTCTTCAACGACGATTAAGTCCATCCAGGGCCAATTTGGGCGGATTTCTTCCGGGTCCATTTTTGGCAGACTCCAAAGGGGTACCATCACAGATTTCGGGCAACTTTTCTGAAATGCCATTTTCTTTCGATTTTTGAGGCTACAGATCACGGATTCGGCTCGTGGCTATTCTCCACTGATAATAAAGTTTATTGATCCTATTCTGCGTCGATGATTAAGTCAATTAAGCACCAAATTGGGCCAATATATTTTGGGATGGCATTTTCGTAATTATTTGAGCAATTTTTTTCGAAAGACCATTTCCTTGGATTTTGAAGGATAAAGATGGTGGATTCGGTCTGAGGCTATTCTTCAACGACGATTAAGTCCATCCAGGGCCAATTTGGGCGGATTTCTTCCGGGTCCATTTTTGGCAAACTCCAAAGGGGTACCATCACAGATTTCGGGCGATTTTTCCGAAATGTCATTTCCTTTCGATTTTGAAGGCTACAGATCACGGATTTGGCTCGAGGCTATTCTCCACCGATAATAAAGTCTACTGATCCTATTCTGCGCCGATTATTAAGTCAATTAAGCACCGAATTGGGCCAATATATTTTGGGATGGCATTTTCGTAATTATTTGAGCACTTTTTTACGAAAGGCCATTTTCCTTGGATTTTGAAGCATAAAGATGGTGGATTATGCCTGAGACTATTCTTCAACGATGATTAAGTCCATCCAGGGCCAATTTGGGCGGATTTTTTCCGGGTCCATTTTTGGCAGACTCCAACGGGGTACCATCACAGATTTCGGGCGATTTTTTCGAAATGCCATTTTTTTCGATTTTGGAGGCTACAGATCACGTATTCGGCTCGAGGCTATTCTCCACCGGTAATAAAGTCTATTGATCCTATTCTGCGCCGATGATTAAGTCAATTAAGCACCGAATTGAGCCAATATATTTTGGGATGGCATTTGCGTAATTATTTGAGCAATTTTTTTCAAAACGCCATTTTCCTTGGATTTTGAAGGGTAAAGATGGTGGATTCGGCCAGAGGCTATTCTTCAACGACGATTAAGTCCATCCAGGGCCAATTCGGGTGGATTACTTCCGGGTCCATTTTTGGCAGACTCCAAAGGGGTAATAACATCACAGATTTCGGGCGATTTTTCCAAAATGCCATTTTCTTTCGATTTTGGAGGCTACATATCACGGATTCGGCTCGAGTCTATTCTCCACCAATAATAAAGTCTATTGATCCTATTATGCGCCGATGATTAAGTCAATTAAGCACCGAATTGGGCCAATATATTTTGGGATGACATTTTCGTAATTATTTGAGCAATTTTTTTCGAAAGGCCATTTTCCTTGGATTTTGAAGGATAAAGATGGTGGATTCGGCCTGAGGCTATTCTTCAACGACGATTAATTCCATCCAGGGCCAATTCGGGCGAATTTGTTCCGGGTTCATTTTTGGCAGACTCCAAAGGGGAGCTCTTCACAAGTGGGTCGGGCCTAATAAATAGATACGAGGGTCCAAAGAATGATCATCAACAGTGATCCTAAATTCCATTCTCTACACAAACAGTTAAACATCATACTTTACATTTTTTTTTAGAAAACTGCTTTCAATTAATTAATCAAAGGTTTCATCCTCTTTAAGTAGAGATACAAGAAAGTGAGGTAGTTTAGCAACCCACACTTCCTCACTATCCCCAACACAATCGGTATGGGCCAACAAATGGGCCGGTTTGTTTCCATTTCGGCCCACAAAGCACCAGGACACATCACCCAAGTGTTGGCCTTTGGCCCAGATTTCTGCACAGACCAACCCAATTTCGGTTTCCCTTTTTTCCTCCTTTCGCAGCTGCTAATTCACCCCCAGGCAATCCGATTCTATCTCAATTTCCTCGAAACCCAACCTTCTTGCCAACTCCAATCCGAAATCAACAGCCATGGTTTCCCCCTCCTCCGGGTTCCATTGGATCTGTGACCTTCGAATTCCCGCAAACCGGAAACCTTCGTCAGCGCCTCTGCACACCACACCCCATCCTGTTCCCCGACCTTCCATGCATGCCGCATCCACATTAATCTTCACCGGTTTCGTTCGCGGTGGTTGCCACCGATGTTTTGACTGTCTCTCTTTTTTTTTAATTCGCAATTAACAGCATTTACATCGAGCTATCATATTGAATTGCAAAGTTATGTGGCAATAAAAATATAATTGCATTTCCAATCGCATGGATGTAAGTGTCAATTGCAATATTGCAAGCTTTCATATGATGCAATTCAATATGCAATTGCCATGTAAGCATTTTTTTCCTTTTATTATAAAAATAATAAATAAAAAACATTTTATTTTATTAAAATAAGAGTTAAACCTACATATGCAATTGTAAATTAATTTCATTAATATAGGTGAATGAAATTAATGTGATGTGGATAGCAGAAAAATTGAATTGTCAATAAAAAACACAAATGCAATTGCAAAAGTAATTGAATCGATGTGGATGCTCTAATCATCAAGAATGCTACTTCAAGAAAGTATTCACACTGCATCACAAGATCTATCTTAGAGGCAGTTCACTCTCTCTCCTCTCCTCTTTTTTTTTTTTTTTTGAGTTAGTCTCGTGTCTTTTTGCTCCTTGGAGATTCAACATAGATGTCCACTTCATGACAAAACATGTTCTTTCATCGGTAGTCTTGTTATATACAGAATACCACTTTATTTTTATTTTTTAATGTTATTATCTAACCATAACCTGACGACTTATCTTTTTAAAAAACGCCTCATTATCTAATTGCTACTTACTCAAAGTCATTGCATTGGAGATTCCATATAAATGTCCACTTGGTGACAAAACATGCTCTTTCATTGGGAGTCTTGTTACATACAGAATATCATTCTTTAAGTTTATTTTTTTAATGTTGTTATCTAACCATAACTTGATGATATGTTTTTTTTTTAAACGCCTATCTAATTGCTACTTAAAGTCATTGCGTTGTTTCTACCGCGAGAAACTGAGGTGTCGAACATTTTACTTAGCTAAGGTTTGCTTTCTGCCATGAGCTTGGACTTTTACGTCTGGTGGATAGATTTTCTTTTACGGCTAGGTTTTTCCACTTCAATAGGTTTTCTTTCTGCCATGAGTTCGTTACCAACCTTTCATGCGCTGGACTTGGATAACAATTGTAAGTTTTTGGATAAATCCATATGTAGTTAAATTACACAATCTAAGTGTGTGCGAATTTCCAAATGCATGCATGTGTTGATTCCACATTGAGGTATACACACTAGAAAAACTTCATTAACAAGTATACATACACAGCTAGGGTTATGGCAAACTGTACTAGCAATCTATACGCAGGCACCAATAAATCATTATGCTGATAAGAAACCTCTATATATATTTTACGTAACATCGGTACTGTTTGTATTGCGGTTTATGGATTGTTTATGGCAAAGGGTATGATAAAAAACTAAATATTATAAATTATAATGAAATTCAATCGGGATCCATTTATTTTAATCACATCTTACATCTCAAATTAATTCCAAACCACAACAATTAGGAGGTAAATTGGACCTCCTGCCTCTCTTTTTTTTTTTTGTGTCAAATTCAGAGAGGATAGAAGAGAAGACAATTTTTTATAATTCCGTACTTTCCTTAATTATATTTTATCTCATTTGTTTTAACTCGATATTTTAAAACAATTATATAAAAATAAAGTGTCAGGAGTTCTATATAAAATCATGGATATAATTGAATTGCAAGACCATGAATGGTGCAACCCATAACTCAAGCCATTGCTTATTACTATATAGTATATAGTCGTATATATAGATATTTTTCTTCGAAAGATTTGTTTACACATTTATTTATAATTAAAGAGTTAAAACCTTTTCATTGAATACTGCCAACTTATCCAGCTGCCAAGATCTAAGAAGAGACAAAAAGTCAATCAATTCGAAGAAGATTATCCGCCGCGGGCTCTGCCTCTCTGCACGGGCCGTGGTCAGTAGTGTGCATAAATTAAGAAGAAGATATTACAAGTCGATGGATTCTGATGCAGTACGGGTCTGCAGGCTTACAGACTATATTATACCTATACGTATTTCTTATCTTTCCTTCCTTCCTGTATAATACGTATAATTGTAATCAAACTATCTTTTTTGGCATCTTCGACCAGTTTTTTTTTATATTCCCAGCAAATATGGGCCATTCCTTATCCTTTCTTCTCTCTGCCATTTCTGATAATCATAATATCACCGTCTGTATCTGCGGTAAGAGATACACACGATAATGAAATGATCAGAAATACATATGATTGACATGTTATCTGAATGAATTTAGGATATCGTATTGGTAGATAAACTCATCTATATCTTGAATTAATCGAATTTCGAAACGTATTATGTCCATACATATAAAATAAAAATAATTAACATCAATACATCGACAACTTCAGCTCGATAAATATTTTACTTTTATTGATGTCAAACCACCCGTTTATAATCATGAATTCCCCCCGGCAGGGCGTGCATGTGGGCCACGTATCAAATAATTCTCTTCCCTTTACACGTAAGGCTAGCTAAATCTCATATATAATAAATATGTGGATGGTGAGTAAAAGCAAACCAAGAAAATCAGAGATGAGAGAACCATCAATAATGGCGTATCTCCCACTGTCAAGAGCCGCGCTCCTTCTTCTGTCTCTTTATCTTCTTGGTCATCATGCCGTTTCATCTACAACGACGTCGGGCGCCAGCAGTGTGCCGGCCACTACATTCGGCGACGATGTCCCGCCGGCCAACCGTTCAAGTTTCCCGGCGGGCTTCCTCTTCGGGTCGGCGTCCGCTTCTTACCAGGTAAATTAACTACCATCGCTTTCTATGGCATTTTTTTATCCATAACTGAAGTTTTGTCAACACTGAAAATCCCGTCGCTAATGTTAGGAAAAGGCGACGAAAATTAGTTATTTGATTTTTCGGTTATTGAGGGCCAATGTTTTTTTATTTGGGGTTCAGGTTGAAGGCGCGGTAGCTGAAGGTGGGAAAGGACCTACCAATTGGGATGTTTATACTGCCAAATATCCAGGTTTCTAATTCCTACTTTTTGTCACGACCCGATTTGAAAATGGTCTAAAAGATAACAAAACATAACATATAAAACTACCATTTTGATTTTTTGATGGTTGGCAGAGAGGATAGCCGATCGTAGCAACGGGAACGTGGCCGTCGATGGGTATCATCGTTACAAGGTAATTAATAGTGACAACTTGTTACCATAGAGTTCTCTGTTCTATATTCGACGAGTTTTGGATAGAAATGCAAATCGAAGTCAAACTAATTAATCATATAAAGATGAAATAGTATGTTTAATCATGAAAGAAATAATTCTATATAAAAAAAATCATGAAAGAAATAATAAACTAGAGACGAAATGGATCAAGGAGTCCACATGCGAATAATTCAATGCTAGCTTGTGTATTTTTTTTTTTTTATGTTTCTATTTAATGCTTATGCATAATAAGATATGGTTTTTTTAATTGTGTACAGGAAGACATTGCAATCATGAAGAGTTTAGGGTTTAATTCCTATAGATTTTCAATCTCATGGGCTCGAATATTACCGAGTATGATATTCAACATAACTTGCTCATCTCTATTCCATCTTTCACTTTTTATCATTAGTTACCAAAAATTAATCAGTTAATGTGACTATTTGTAATTATCAGATGGGACGATTGGTCGAGGTGTGAATAAAGAAGGGATCACATATTACAACAATTTTATCAACGAGCTCCTGGCTAATGGTAAATAAAATGCACTCAGCACCTTTTATCATATTTTTCGGTAAATATTAACATGTTAGCACGTAATAACTAATAACCCTCTAAGTGAAGTGAACATTAATATTCATTTCATCAATATAAATTCCCTTGAAGAGTTGAATATTTCTCAATTTATTTTTTGTTACTTATTAGTCTCCTTATTAACTAATTCCTCAAATGGTGATATCTCCAGGCATTAAACCTTTTGTAACCATTTTTCACTTCGACCTCCCTGAAGCCTTGGAAAAACAATATGCCGGATTCCTTAGCCGTAAAATTGTGTAAGTACCCTAGCTATATACCACTCTCATTATTATTATGTATTAGTGTTTCACTAATCACATTAAAAATCTATGTACGATATACTAGCAACCATCGAATCACCGCCATTAAAAAGTCAAAATCATTTCTCTATTTCCCCTAACAAAAGAATACTATGATGAACATATATGGCAGGAAAGATTTCGTTGCATATGCGGATCTTTGTTTCAAGCACTTTGGAGACCGAGTTCAACACTGGGTCACAATCAACGAGCCTCTGTCGCTCGCTTTGTTTGGCTATGCCCAGGGGACGTTGGCGCCTGGCCGATGCTCGAAATGGATGAACTTGAACTGCACTGGAGGAGACTCAGCCACCGAGCCATACATAGTCGGGCACCACCTCCTTCTTTCTCATGCCGCCACCGTCAAATTGTACAGAGAGAAATATCTAGTAAAAAATCTACATACTTTCAAACTTTATCTGATGTTCCCAAAGATGTGACCATATGTAAGGTCACTGAAATGTACTTCGTCTGCAGGCAACACAAAAGGGCAAGATCGGCACTGCCCAAGTGATACAGTGGCTTCTTCCTCTCTCCGATTCTAAGAAAGATCACGAAGCTAGGCAACGGAGAATAGATTTCACGCTTGGATGGTACGTGTTTTTGGCTAGTTTTAGGGTTTGGTTAGAAACAAAAAAAAAAAAAAGCTTAATCACATGACCACCCATGGGCTTAATTTTGCAGGTTTCAGGACCCATTGGCCACCGGAGACTATCCGCCGTCGATGAGAGCTAATGTGGGGAAACGATTGCCCAGATTCTCGAAAGAGGAAGCCAAGATGTTGAAAGGCTCTGCCGATTTCGTGGGGTTGAACTACTATACATCTTACTACGTTTTCAATGACCCTCCTCCTTCTAATGCTCTCAAGAGCGCTACGACGGATTCTCATACCAATTTTTCACGTAAGCAAATTTCTATAATGCTAAAACGCCCTCAATACTACTAGTAAACATAATCAATATCTTATGTTATTTTTACTGATTACCTAACTTGTTTCTTGTCGCTAATGAAGCCACGAAGAATAATGTCGACATCGGGCCAAAGGTATGCCATTCCAATCTATCATTAAATTGTTCATGAAATAGAAGGTTTGTTAACTAAACGAACAAAGGATTGGTCTAGTGGTAATACTATTAGCCTTGAACCTGGAGGTCCCAGGTTCGAATCCCTCCAGTAGTATCTAATTACAAAATATAACCTATATCACCCTTATCTAAAAAAAAAAAAAAGTTTGTTAACTAGGGTAGTCACAAACTCGCAATAACTCAGAGCTTATGATGGTCGAAAGGTTTATATTTAATTTTTTTTATAAGGGTGATAACTGGTAAGGTTTTATATTTAAAATTAACAATTGCCAACACTAGCTATGTGATCTAATTACCTTTCCATTAATTATTGTGCTGCAGGCAGGGATAATTTGGCAGTACATTTACCCCAAAGGTATTCGAGATGTTGTTCTCTATGCAACAAAGAAGTACAATAACACGCCTATTTACATCACCGAAAATGGTGAGCCTACATTTTATATTTGTTTTATACATAGAGACGGTTTCATCTCAATGAATAAGAAGGTTTTTTTGTTTTGTTTTGTTTTATTGTGTATATATGCTTGTAATTCTAACAAATTCATCAATTTGTCAATGGAATTTAGGCATGGGGGAGGTCAATAATGATACCTTAAGCATCAAGGAAGCTCTTAACGATACCCTGAGAGTCTTTTTCTATCGTGAGCATATAGCATATCTCAACAGTGCAATCAAGTAAGATCGACATATCACGATATAATTTAATGTTTCGCACACTTGTCTACAATATAATTGATGGTAATTAAGCTTTGAAATGTCTTAATGTTTCATATGTACTTAGTTTAGGATGTCATGTATCACTTTCTTACTAATGATATATCATTTTTAGAATCTATTCGTTCATAAATATAAATAAGTAACTTTTGCACAATTTATCTGGTCATGCAGGGATGGTGCAAATGTGAAAGGGCATTTTGCTTGGTCAATAATGGACAATTTTGAATGGGCGGAGGGCTATACTATTCGATTCGGTATCAATTTTGTGGACTACAAAAACGGGCTAAAAAGATATCCTAAACAATCCGCCGTATGGTACCGTAACTTCTTCAAGAATTAGTCATGATCTATCGACTTTCACAGTTGCTGTTCCTTTGTTTAACTTTTTTCCGAGAAGATATATCCTACGAGAGATATGAGTATGTTCCTTTTTCAATAAAATTATCTATCAAGTTTCGTTTATCTTAATACTCTCATACTCTTGTCACTCACCTTATATATAATCTCTCAATAGTACTTTTAGCAATAATGCAGTATGTATGTACATAGCTTTTGTTGAAAAATGTGTTCATAATCATCTCGTCAAATTAGAAACATATGAAATTCGTAACCCTGCTATCCCCTCAATGATCATCCCAAAAATTATCGGGTAAAATGATCATTCCAGATCACGAGGCTAATGTTGTTGCTGATCATTTCTCCTACATTATTAATCTAATTCTAACCTATTGATTTAGTCCAACGGGTATCCATGTTTTTAATGCTCCTTCATGTGTGAAAATTTTACCTTGTATTGAATTTTGTATGGCTATGAAATTAAAATTTAAAACCAATGAACTAGAAATATACCATTGAAGGATTCATTTCACAAACAGTAAAAATGATACATGTTGGGAAACTTTGTCAGACAGTCCCCAGCACTTAGATGGGCCATATCCTTATCTTCTCAAATTTTTATTTTATTTTCAAGAAACCCCACTAGTAAATTAATTAATTAATTACTTTGCACTTACTGATTTCTAAAGGTTTGTATTGTAGGATGAAACATGAAATAAGCAACGACTAATCTACAATTATGTTCAAAAGAAATCAAAATGATCAATTAAGAAAGGTGGTTTCAGTAACACGATGATTACGCAAACTTATAATTCAAATATAATTCAAATTATTAAACAATATAATTCAAATATCTTATAATTGACGCAAACTTTCAAACATACTCTTTAGATAAAGTCACATATAAAATTTTGGGTGTGCCTACGGTGACATGCATGTCACGGTGACTTGCACTTTCCGGTCGACCTCAGTTAGGATTAGGTCGACCTCATATAGAATTCGGTCGACCTCATATAGGATCCGGTCGACCTCATTTAGGATTCGGTCGACCTCATATAGGACCGGTCGACCTAATATGTTGTTTCAGTGTAAAAACAGTTCATGGTGCCTACTTTGGATATTCATATCATACAATTGGCTAGATGGAAATTGAAGACTAATGACTTGTTTTGAAGTTGGAGTGTCCCTCTACATATTGAAGTGATTGAGAGCTCGATAGGAAGTCCAGAAGACCATTTTTGAACCTCATCAAAAGGCTATGCCAAAACTGGGAAACTGCCTAGAAATGGCTAAGTCTGGAAACGTGTTTGTGAAGCCTATTTTTGAGCTTAATTCGAGAAGCATGAATGCGAGTCGAGTCCAGGAGCCTCTACCACGTTAAATTAGGTATGTTTTTATACAAATTCAAGGAATTGGATGAAAGATTGGATATCTTTAAGGCTTCAAACAAAAGGGTCGAAGTTGCTACGAAGGCTGTTTTTCTGGCAGACTTCGAGCACAAGCAAGCTGCCAGAAAAACAGCCTTCGTAGCAACTTCGACCCTTTTGTTTGAAGCCTTAAAGATATTCAATCTTTCATTCAATGTCTTGCCTTTGTATAAAAAAATACGTAATTTAACGTGGTAAAGGCCCCTGGACTTGACTCGCATCCATGCTTGTCAAATTGAGCTCCAAAGTAGGCTTGACAAAAACGTTGCCAGACTTAGCCATTTTCAGGCAGTTTCTCAGTTTTGGCATAGCCTTTTGGTCAGGTTCAAAAATGGTCTTCTGGACTTTCTATTGAGCTCCCAAGTACTTTAATGTGTAGAGGGACACTTCAGCTTCAAAACAAGCCTTTAATCTCCAATTTCCATCTAGCCAATTGTAAGATATGAATCTCCAAAGTAGGCACCATGAAACCGTTTGTACACTGAAACAACTGATTAGGTCGACCTGATCCTATATGAGATCGACCGAAAAGTGCATGTCACCGTGACATGCATGTCACCGTAGCAAAGTCCTAAAATTTTATACATATGAATGTTGTAATATACGCGAGTTTCGCATTTTATTGAACTACGATTAGAAATTGAAAAGCACATTTGGGGAAAGCGTGGTAGGTGGAGATTAAGTCTACTTACCAAACAAGGCCCTACTTAAATTTTGTTATATTATTCGTCTCATGATTATGTTTAGCAATTGGACCAATAGCTAGCTGTAGATACTTGCTTTGCCCGTCATATCTCCAAGACTCCAACAACCATTTTGCACTTGCAGATAGCTAGCTTTGCAGACACACTCTTCTCTATAATGGAGAAGTGGCAGACATAATGGTTATATTCAAATTGTGGAGCCACCTTCGATTCGAAAAATAACTCTTCATTTTTTGGCTAACAATGTCGGTATAGTCTTGGGCTAACAATTATAAATAAAAGTCGGTTAATTTTGTCAAAATGTCATTTATATTGGTGTCACTAAAAGTTGCAGCAATATTCACAAAATATGCCGATACTTACACTTTTAGACATAAGTTCGACATATGAAAACATTACGACATTTACAAAAAAAAGTATGAGTACCCGTATTTTATTTCGACATTTGAAAATGTCCCTTTGATACCTTGCGATGCAACAATTAAGTATAGACACTTATATCTTCTAACATTTTATTTCGAATATGAAAATGTTGCTATAAAACCTTGCAACATTTTAAAAAAAATTGTCACTACCTATATCTTTCAACATATGAACATTTTGTTACATAACCTTATGACATTTGCAAAAAGCACCGTTACCTACATTTGCCGCCATTTATTTTGAAATATAAAACTTATTATTTTAACATTTATTGTTGTATTCGTATAGTGGTATTTATTAGTATAGTGGTATTGAATAATTCTTGCCGTTAGATAGTTAATTTTATGAAGATAGAGGTCATATACCAGTAGATTAAAATGACTCACTCATTGTATTAGAATATTTCTATTTGCACAGGTTTGATCGGATTCAAATGTAGATAAAACTGAAAATTCATGGAAGACCAACTTACGCATGAACGACTCACTTATTAGTATATTGTTGACTATTCTTTGCTTCTTTACTTTCACATGCTATATATATATATACATGTATACGTTATTTATCAAAATTATTAGGGATCGGTTAGCATGCTAACCCTTGTATGGGTTGGCAAAATGACAACCCCTATTAATTATAGGTTTTTAAGATAATTAATTTGTGTTGCATTTAATAATCTGTATGAATTAAAAACACATATTAATTACTTTCCTTTTTTCAGTGCACTGGTAGTTGTGTACAGGTGCAATGGTAGATGTATCACTGCAATGGTAGTTCCAAAAAAGGAATGTAATTAATATGAGTTCAGTATACCAGTGCACTGATACAACTACCAGTGCACTGAAAAAGGAAAGTAATTAATATGTGTTTTTAATTCATACAGATTATTAAATGCAACACAAATTAATTACCTTAAAAACCTATAATTAATAGGGGTTGTCATTTTACCAACCCTTTTATGGATAGACATGCTATCTCATCCCAAATTATTATATATACGATTGAGATATATGTTGACTGTTCTAAGGCATCAAACTTCGGATAAGATTAAATATACATATATCGGAGACTAAAGATCCGTATATCTACACAAATAGACCACACTAAATTAAAATAATCAATTCAACAAAACCACCACCTACTCTGCTACTCATCGTTCAACACGGATTACCTCGGTCAACGAGAAGTCTCTGGGCTAGATCATGGTTGTTGTTGTAATGATCGTTAGTAACTCAATGTAGAATTTAAAGCTGATATGAAATCTATCAATATGTTAGTTAGAGCACACGATTAATTTCGGATGTCAGTTGCAGACATTTTTAAACTAAGTTTCGTTAGTTCTTCATCTACGAAATTTTTGATATTCGCGATTGGCAGAAGAAGAGAGAATACGTGTCATTTTTAGAGTATTGATGAATCGCAGCCTATAAAACTCTATAAGTGAGTATAACTATTTGGTATCCACTCATTGAGTGGATACCGCAGTTCACATGACACGCGTGCGAAACAGACTACCAAGAACGAACGAATGGTGATCAATCTCACTACCTATCGCGCGAACTACCTAACAACACATCAAATGAGGGTTTAATCGGAAGGAAGGGGAAAAAAACTACGTACCATACGAATAGAAAGGGACCTAAGTACCACTTAATCAAATTTCAAAATATTGGTTGGTCCTGATCCATCGTCACATTCTTCCTAGTCTTGGTTTATGTACAGAATGTTTGTGTTCATTATTTAGGTAGGTACCAATATTAGACCCACGTTTTTCGACCACAATGAAAATTGTTTGGTGCTGCTGCCTACGTGTTTTCCTATGAGTTTCGACGTTGGCTACAAATGGATTATTTTTATATATTATACTATGGTACGTAACGTAACGTAACGTAACGCAGGTCAAGTTCCACGACAATATCAATATTGTATTCCACATACATGGCATGTGGACCTTATGGGTAAAATAACTCGCTTATATATCTGCTAACGGTTTCGAACGGAAAACAAAGAAAAAACCAGAGCAGTACAGAATTACAGAACAACAAAACCAAGGAGAGTACGTACAGAACCGTAATAATGGCGAGTCTCCTACGCTTAAAACTCCTCACAGTAGTACTTTTCCTTTCTCTCTATCTTCTTGTTCACGCCACATCGTCTTTAGCGACGACCAGTGGCAATACTGTGCCGCCCTCGTCAATAATTAGCGACGATAATGTTCCGGTGGCTAACCGTTCGAGTTTCCCGGCGGGATTCCTCTTTGGTTCGGCGTCGTCGTCTTACCAGGTAAGCGATGAATGATGATTACCATGGTTTAACTAGATTTTCTGATTGTCACAATGGTATCTATTCATTAAATGTTTTTAGCAACGACCTAGGAGTTCGTTGCTAATGGTAAGAAAAGGCGACGAGTATTGATTTTCGCTGACAGATTATGTTTGTTTGGGTTCAGGTGGAGGGCGCGGTATCTGAAGACGGAAAAGGACCTAGCAATTGGGATGTTTACACTAACAAGTATCGAGGGGAACAAGACGATTCATCGTCAACGCATATTCGTCTTCGTTGTGCAGGCATGCATCGACCATCTCGCTTTCTCATGAGCTCTGATGATCACCATTCTGGTTCGAAGCCCAAAGGTAAACCAGATTCCAGTGATGACCTGATCCAATCTAAAAGATTTTCCATCGGCGGTTTTAAGAGATAAGTAAACCAAATCATAACACAAGCATTTTTGATGGTTTTGCAGAGAGGATAGCCGATGGTAGCAACGGGAATGTGGCCATCGATGGGTACCATCGCTACAAGGTAATTAACAGTGACAACATATCGTTTCTTTCATATCCGCCGTTAAGTTTTCGAATGATTCTAAGTAAAAAAACTATGGACGTAAAATGACCTTGTGTTTGTGAATTTTGTTTGTAGGAAGACGTTGCAATTATGAAGAGTATTGGGTTGCAGGCTTATCGATTTTCTCTCTCGTGGGCTCGGATTTTACCAAGTATGATATTCATCATAGCTGCTAGCTCTCTATTTCATTTTTCACAATGCAGTAGTTATCGTTAATTACCAAAATTACATAGTTATTAGTAATTAACGGGTTGTTTTACAACCATGCATCATCAGATGGAACGGTGGAAGGAGGTGTGAATCAAGAAGGGATAGAGTATTACAACAATCTCATTAATGAACTCCTAGCCAATGGTAAATTACATAAATGCAATACAATCCATTTTGTTAATCATGTTCGTTCGATTTATATCATCGGTTGATCACCTTATTAACTAATTCCTCAAAAATTATCTCCATCCAGGCATCAAACCTTTTGTAACCATTTTCCATTTCGACCTCCCCGAAGCCCTGGAAAGAGAATACGCCGGCTTCCTTAGCCCTAAAGTTGTGTAAGTACCCTCACCGTGCACTCTCATAACTACGCAATCGAAATTTATGTACAATCCATCCTTTAATTTATCTTAGCTAACGAAAATATACATACTATGAACATATACCAGGAAAGACTTCGTTGCATACGCGGATGTTTGCTTCAAGCACTTCGGAGATCGAGTTCAACACTGGGTCACGATCAACGAGCCTCTGTCGTACAGTTTGTTCGGCTACGCCCAGGGGACGATGGCTCCCGGTCGATGCTCGAAATGGATGAATCTGAACTGCCCCGGAGGAGACGCAGCCACCGAGCCATACATAGTCGGACACCACCTCCTCCTTTCTCATGCCGCCGCAGTGAAACTGTACAGAGAGAAATACCAGTCGACACAAAAGGGCGAGATCGGCACCGCCCAGGTGGTGCAATGGGGCCTCCCTCTCTCCAATTCGAAGCAGGATCGCGAAGCTACGCAACGAAGAATCGATTTCACGCTAGGATGGTTTCAGGATCCACTGGCCACCGGAGACTATCCACCGTCGATGAGAGATCTCGTGGGGGAAAGATTGCCCGAATTCTCGAAGGAGGAATCCAAGATGTTGAGAGGCTCCTTCGACTTCGTGGGGTTGAACTACTACACGTCTTACTACATTTCCGGCGCTCCTCCTTCAAAATCTATGCCTAAGAGCGCAACGACGGATTCTCAAACCAGTTTTTCACGTAAGCTAATTAAACCCCTCTACACTAGTAATTAAACGTAACTTATCATATGTGTGGTGACTAATAATTACTTGCAACCAATTTGTTTTCATGTCGCTAATGAAGCCGAGAAGAATGGTGTCGACATCGGACCAAAGGCAGGGATATCTTGGCAGTACATTTATCCCAAAGGGATTCGAGATGCGGTTCTCTACACAACAAAGAAGTATAATAACACGCCCGTTTACATCACTGAAAATGGTGAGTCTAATTAATATACGTTAGATATATGTAGCTAAAATTTTGACAGTTTTATATCAATGAATTACATGTTTGTAATACGCTTGCCAGGCTAACGCAACTATCTTTATATTCTATTTACAGGCATGGGCGAGCTCAATAACGAAACATTAGGCATCAAGGATGCTCTTAATGATACTCTACGAGTAGATTTTTACCGTCAACATATCGCATACCTCAGCAGTGCAATCAAGTAAGATATATGCTTATTAAGTTTCCAAATATCTTGACGTATAGAATACAATTAAATTTAATTAGGATGTCATACTCTTAGAATTTATTTAGTCATTGGGGAAAAAAAATTCTTACACAATTTTATGTGGTTATGGTTGCAGGGGAGGTGCAAATGTGAAAGGGTATTTTGCTTGGTCACTGATGGACAACTTTGAATGGTCGGAGGGCTATACAATCCGATTTGGCATTAATTATGTGGACTTCAAAAATGGATTGAGACGATACCCTAAACGTTCTGCCATTTGGTTTCGAAACTTCCTCAATAATTATTACTGATCTATTTTATTTTGGTAGCTTTTTTTAGTTCTTTTTTTCTTTCCGAAGAATGCATACCATATGAAATTGGAGTATGTTTCTTTTTTCCCCATAGAAATGTAAAGAAAGTATAGATACAACCCCAACGAATACAAAGGTTAACGCAAATGATACAAATTTTTTTGGATCATTAGAGTTGTTTTCCTTTTCCCACATTGTAATTTGCTGTTGAAGGACGGCTAAGATTTATTCATTTGAGGGACTAAATTACATGTGTTGATTACTTTAGGGGTCGTTTGGATGTGGAAATGTAATGCAGTAATTGGATCCAATTATCATATAACGCAGTAATTGGGTTAAAAACCCATATTTGGGAGAGAAAAATGGTATGGAAATTGGACCGTGGAAATTGGCTTCAATTACCACATTCATGGTAATTGAGAATACTACACCTCCCCCTAGTAATTTGACATTACCACGTTTTCTTACTTCTTTTTCCAAATTCCACACCATCAATTGCCACAAAACTAAACCCTATCCAACGTGAATTTTTTTCAATTTCCACAAGTCAATTCCTTGGTTTTGTACAACATGGAAATTCAGACAAATTTCAACGTTTTAAATTTCAACGTTTGGCAGTCGACAATAATTTTTTATAATTAAAAATAAAAAGTAATGTATATTTTTAAAATTTTCCCCTCAATTCCTCTTCTCCGCTACCACTAACAACTCGTCTCTCTTCCCATATCACCAAGATTGCCAAATCACAAATCTCCAGCCTCCATTATACCCTTCCATCAATAAAAACAAAGAGAGAAAAACTAGATTGAGAGAGTTCAGAGCTCTAATAACTATTGTTACCGGTTGTAACTATATAGAACAAACCAATAATTACTTATTATATGTTTTAGGTTTCCCACATGTATTGTGTTTCCTTGCTTTGTTTAGTTTGGTTTTTCTTTTCCTATCTAAGGAATGTCAACGAGGCATGTTTGAGACGGATTTTGCTAAATCATTCACATCGTCATTTTTGTATACTCAAACACATACCAATTCAAGGAGGTTTTGCATCCATATACCCATACCCAGAGTTTTTGGATACCTCTGGATAACACCCTCCCTGTACATCCTACATTACCAAATTTGCAATTCAATACGTAGATGTTTAACTATAACACTTAACAAACATGATAAATCATGAAATCAGCAAAGACACAACCATTATAATACAAGAATAGTCAAAATTGCTTCGCAAAGATACAACAGTTTTGCACAATTTTTTTATTTGATGTGAACGAGACTACTCTACAAAGAGTTGAAACTCTCAATTATTTTATTTCTTTTATTTTGATTGTCTCTTCTCTCTTACTGCCAACAAGAACACCGCTGACCTAATAAACAAAAGGGAGAAAATCTAACCCAGCCTCGAATCATGCCGGAATAAGAAGAAAACAAAACCAAATAAAACAAGAAAATACAATACATTTAGGAGGGATGTCAACTACCCATCTAGGATAATTTTACTTAAATGCAAGTAAATTCATTGATTATAGGTAAAGCAAAGGTGAACTATATACTGATTTTGGACTTTCTATACCATCATGGCATAACGTTAGGTATTACTAAAATTTACCACCATACGGTAGATTAATAAGATATGTCTCAATTTTTTTTAAAAAAAAATATATCAAAGTTGATGTAATTTTTAAGAACATAATTAATATAAATTTTTTAACTAGGACATAAAATGAAAAGGATATAATCTGTTAAAATTAATTAGGAAAAATTAATATTTTGTGGACAGTTGATAAGGTTACTGATGTTTATGCAAAAATGAGTTGACATTTTGACAGAATCTATCTGCTCCATTTTGTCACGCCGAAACACCCCATCGTTTATGCATAAAAGTATTAACCACTAATTTTTTAAAACGACGGCACTAGCAAGGGACATCTGAGGCCCGTTTGTCGCGGCAGGAATGGAGTTTTATATCTTCAGCCGGAATATGGATCAAATCGGCTTATATAAATGCATATGGTTTTTGAATATGAAAAATTAAAAGCGATAAGAGAGAACAATAATAATCATGGTGATCACTTTATCTCAAAATACTACTATTCGTCATTTGGGTCGTCTCACGCTTCTTCTTCTTCTTCTTTCGCTCTATCTTCTTGGTCATGCCACATCGTCGTCCAGCTCCAGTTTGACGCCGTCGACGTTTAGCGACGAGCACAATAGCGACGTACTCGAACATGTTCCGGCCGTCGCTAACCGTACGAGCTTCCCGGCGAGCTTCCTCTTCGGGACGGCGTCGTCAGCTTACCAGGTCGGTGATCATATAAGCCTCCTATAGTTTGAATCAGAAAGTCATTTGTTTTTATGGTGTAAAAAAGCACGGAAAGGAAGGAATTTTCTTTGGCGACGGTTGATAACTCGTCGCTAAAAACGTTTGAAAAAAGGCAACGGGTATTGATTTTCTTCGTCGGGTATATGTGAACTTGGGGTTTTGATCAGTATGAAGGCGCTGCAGCTGAAGGTGGTAAAGGGCCAAGCATGTGGGATGCTTACACTTCCAAATACCCAGGTTCTATCTTCTTCTAAAATCCTATGCTGGTTATGTATAAAGGTTTTTCTTATAGATTATTTCAAATCGTATCGCGTGTCGTAGTTTGATCGAGACGGAGATATGATAAAAGTACGTAAGAACAAAATGGATTTACGTGGTTTTCTCGTTCAGGATGAACGAGATTAGTTCACGGATGAAGACTCTCTATCTTTTATTCAACTTGAGTGGCGTACGCTATACGCCACCGTTCACTATATGCCAGCGTTCACTATATCGTACTCCTGTCGAGTTTTACTACTTAGATCATGAATTGATCAGAGTTTGGGGCATGATACTGTACCCTAACTTCTAATGAGTGAACCACAGTCTCTAATTCTCTAGCTCGAGTCATAAGATTCATTTATATATATAAAAAAAAATCGACGAATCTGATTCATCAAAATATATCACAGTGCAAATAACAAGTGGAACACAAACTATAGCATATGCCAGGTGGACATGAGGCTTTGCCATATTTGTATATGTAATTATATATAGATTTCGACCATAAACCCTAATTAACTACCATTAGGAGCCGAACCCTAGGCTCAAACCTACAACTGTGGACTCCCAACAACTTAACTGACCCAACTGAATGTTGATTTTGGGCTTTCACACCATGTTGTGCTTGACTCATAACTCAACAAGCTTGTGCAAACTTGAGTCTAGCTACAATGTTGATATTGGGCTTTCACACAATGTTGTGTTGGGCTCATACTCAGTATGTCTGTGCAAATTTGAAGTTTGCAAGTTGTTGTGTGAAGGAGCATTAATTAAGAGAGTGTGTATAAATTTTGTAATTAACCTTCTCATAAGGGTTATTGGAATCAAGATTTTGGGGTTTTGATGGCAAGGTGAAATGGCAGGTAAGATAGCCGATCGGAGCAACGGGGATGTGGCTATTGATGAGTACCATCGGTACAAGGTAATAATTAATAATGCCAAAGATGATTTTTAATAATTGAAATATTTTGCCCACGGTAAACAATCATCATATATAATATTTTTGTACTCATTATCTTTTTTTTTTGTTAATCACGTTTATGATATTTGCAGGAAGATGTTGCAATCATGAAAAACATGGGATTAAATGCTTATAGATTTTCTATCTCATGGCCTCGTATTTTACCTAGTACGATATTTACCATAGCTTACATTTTTCGTCCTTTTTACCTTGCTATAACCCAAATCAAGCTAGACCTAGTCATATGTGTCATATTATTAGATGGAACGCTCAACGGTGGAGTGAATAAAGAAGGAATCGCATACTACAACAACCTCATTAATGAACTTTTGGCTAACGGTAAATACATCTCCAGTTTTATCACCAGACTAACTCCTTTAGATCGTATGTCTCGGGGTATTTTGTTAATTAATCGATCGCAGCAACTAAGATTAGTTAAGGCTCTTAATTGATTGGTTGTAGTAAAATTAAGTGTTAATATAATATCATCTACTTACCAAATTAATTTCTCAAATTATGATTTTTTTTTTCAGGCATCAAACCTTTTGTTACCCTCTTTCACTGGGACACTCCCCAAGCCCTTGAAAACGAATATGAGGGCTTCCTTAGCTATAAAGTTGTGTAAGTATACCTTTTACCACTCTTGAACTATTGACATTAAAGAGTCAAATCGACATTGTTGCCTTTCTAACACAAAATGTTATGTATCAACATATATATATATGTATGTCCCAGAAAAGATTTTGTTGCATACGCCGATGTTTGTTTCGAGCACTTTGGCGATCGAGTTCAGCATTGGGTTACATTCAACGAGCCCATATCTTACAGTTCGTATGCCTATGGCATGGGGATGATGGCGCCTGGCCGATGTTCACCATGGATGAACTTGAACTGCACAGGTGGAGACTCGGCCACTGAGCCATACATTGTTGCACACAACCTCCTCCTCGCTCATGCTGCGACCGTAAAATTGTACAGAGAGAAATATCAAGTAAACAATCTATATATACTTCAGAGTACTTCATCCGATGTCCCTAAAGGGGCGGTGATATGCTCAAATTTCGGAAGTTAATGTCGCTTATTATATTTCGTCTCTTAGGCAACACAAAAGGGTGAGATGGGCATTGCCCATGTGTCGCAATGGGGTATTCCTCTCTCCGATTCCAAGCAAGATCACAAAGCTACACGACGGGGAATGGATTTCATGCTAGGATGGTACGTATGTACGTGCTTTGTTCGTAGTATGATGGGGTCTAATATTTTTGGATATCTGAAACCTGAATCGTTATCGTGAGAACACTACTTGTCGTTGTAGGTTTATGGACCCGTTGGCCACAGGAAATTATCCACGATCGATGAGAGCTATCGTGGGGAAACGATTGCCCAAATTCTCAAAGGAGGAGTCCAAGATGTTGAAAGGCTCTTTTGATTTTGTGGGGTTGAACTACTACACAACTTTCTATGTTTCCAATGCACCACCTTCTAACCCTCTGTTCTCAAGCTCAACGACTGATTCTCGAACCAATGCTTCACGTAAGCAATTTAATGAATACTAAACCAATGACCATTCTACACTATTAAACCTAACTCCTGTGTATGCATTTTGTCACTAATTGATTGCAACTTATAATGTGTTTCATGTTGCAATTTATAACGAAGCTATGAAGAATGGTGTCCCCATCGGCCCAAAGGTATGTGTGCTCTAATCAATCGTTAAGTTGTTCATGAAACTAAAGGAAACCAGTTACGGTGGTTACAATAACTCGAGGACTATTGAATCCGAACAACTTGTAAATAGATATGCGAAACGGTATCTTGTATCATTTTTCTACTCATAAATTCAGACAAAATTGACTTCCAATATACGTGGTGCTTGATTGCAAAGGAAGTTCTCTTCTAGTAAGAAAATGTTTAACAAATGATTTAATACACGTTGTGCAGGCAGGGTTATCTTGGCAGTACATTTACCCCAAAGGAATTAGAGATGTTGTGCTCCACACAAAGAAGAAATACAATAATCCACTAATTTACATTACAGAAAATGGTGAGCCAATGTGTTGGATATAGTTGGAACTCAATAAATTAGAAGGTTATATATATATGCTTGCAGGATTAACAAAATTGTCATTTTCTTTGTGGAAAACAATTATACTTAATTCATAGGCATGGGCGAGGTCAATAACGAAACAATGAGCCTCACGGAAGCTCTTAATGATACCTTAAGAGTAGATTTCTATCGTCAGCATCTCGCTTATCTCAACAGTGCAATCAAGTAAGATATATCATGATATAATTAAGTGATCGAATTAAATTTAAGGTGTATTGTATATCCTTAAGAGTAATGTGAGAGTGGATTTCTATCGTCAAGATATAATTAAATTTACAACTATAATTTCTACCATAATATTTTTTTTACAACTATAAAAATGTTTTGTATGTACTGAAAATTCAAGTTGTGTTGTATATTTTGCCCTGTTAATTATTAGTAATAATCTATAATTTATTAATTTTTTTCTTAAAAAATTACAGGGATGGTGCAAGGGTGAAAGGGTACTTTGCTTGGTCATTGTTGGACAACTTTGAATGGACGAAAGGCTACACGATTCGATTTGGCATTAATTATGTGGACTACAAAAATGGACTAAAAAGATATCCTAAGCAATCTGCCCTTTGGTTCCGAAGATTCCTGAAGAATTGAAAATGACCTATTTGATTTTCTTTTAGTGGCGGTTGTTTCTTTGATTGAACTACAGCATCCTTTCTGATAAGATATTGAGATCATTAGGTACTCAATTTCGAAGGGCTCTTGGCCTATTCCGATCCTATCAAATTGTACCCACTTGCTATTTGACAATGTAATTTTGAGTCATTACCCTAATATCAGTTCAACCACGTGTTGATTTCAAATTACCACACACAAAAAATCAACTGTGTTTGACACATTGGTTTTCAAAGCTCCACATAGAATCACAGAACCAATAACAAGGAGATCGGTTAGTCGAAGTCGGTTATTCAAAGCGACATGAAGAGTGGTGTCGGCCACCTGAAAACAAAGCCAACTGAGGAATGAAGGATTGGTTAGTCGATCAACCCATTAACTCTTGACCCACTAGCTCGACTAGGTCAACAGCTAGCTAAATCGGGTTGTCAATCTTGGTAAAGAGTAATAAACCGTTTGTTTGGTCTCCATTTTTTTTTTTCTGATGGCGATATAGATTGAAATTAAGAATCTGGATTAAGAATTTATACAGGCCACTAAAAAGACAGAACTTAAAAGTAACTAATAATTGGAAGGAAGACAAGAAATGTAAAACAACCCTGATCACTTTGACTCCTAATCTAGCTCTCAGCTACCTTTCATTGTCTGCTTGACGACAGCACTTAAAAATATCTTATAATTGGAGGGAAAGACAAGAAATATAAAAACAATCCCCACTTTGACTCCTAATCTAGCTCTTAGCTACCTTCGATTTGCTGCTTGCCAGCTCAAGAGATGGAGAACCGATTTTGATAGAGAGAAGAAATGTGTTACGAGATTGAATCGACCTGTAAATTCAAAGAACTAGGTTGGCGTATCTTTATTTTTGTTATTTGTATTTATTTATTATTTTGGGATTATTTGGGTTCGTTTTTTTTTGTCTAGAATAGCTAAGTAGTAATTAACGTTAGTATTTAATTAATGTTTCTCGTAAGAAAGAAAATGAATTTAAGTATTGATTTATGTTTCTTACTTTTTTTTTATTTGATTACTAGTTTCCGTAGCTATTAAGTGTTGTTTTCGCCATTAAAGAGATCATCTATTCGAGAGTTTCGAAAAAACTATCTTAAAATCCGGTGATCAAATATTGATAGAAGTCAACCTTGAAGGCACATCTACACGCGTAACAGAATGGGTCACTAGGAGTCTAGAAATTGGTTCTAAAAATCTGTATTCCTTGGAGGTCATCTCCTCCATCTCTATAAATCCATCAAGACAAAATATGACAATGCAAAAATGGAAAACCATGACATCCTATACTTGCAACCAATCCGTTTTTAGATATTCAAGGTGATTATTAAAAAAAAAGTCTCGTATTCCTGCAAGCTGTTATGTACCAACTATTAAACTCCTGTCACCCTTGATACCATCCATATCCAAGGCTCCAACAAACTGACATTTATTTTATAATTCATTTACTGTATTTTTTTTTTATTGGAGCATCATCCCATTTCCAGAGCAAAACAAATGCGAGAAATTAACAGGAAATTAACCCAAAACTCGACCAAGGCATTTCCACCGTCTCGTGACTCTCATCAGAAAGATTCTTCTATCACGGCAAACAGAAAGCGAGTTAAAGTGAAACACTAAACCCTAAAGGTGCCGCCAAAGAAACCACTACAAATTAAAAGACTACGGAATCCCTAAAAACAGAGACCGAGGCAGCCAAAAAGATTCGTGCTAGTAATTAATATTCACACCTTTGTTTTGATGGTTTCATTCAATTACTTCTTCTATATAAACCAATAGTAGGCACCATTTCCTCTGGACAAATCGGCAGGGAGGTTTCTACAAACTCAAAAAGATTTGTCAATTCTAAGTGTCATGGCTCTGTTCATGATCAGCTGCTGCCTGCTCGTATTTTCGTCGCTAATAGTTATCGATGGAGCTCGAGTTATGATCAATCGCTCTGCCCGCGATACTACTGCGATCAATGGTACTACTAGTAGCAGAGCTTCTTCCCTCAACAGAAGGAGCTTCCCTGCCGGCTTCATATTCGGCACGGCTTCCTCGGCATACCAGGTACTTTGGATAGTCGTCACTATATCTGAAGATCGGAGGTTTTGAACTTTTAAGGACGAGAGTTGGTCACTAAAGGCACGACAAAAAAAAACCGTCGCTGAAACTCATTACTACAAATATCTTTGTCGGGGGAAAAAAGGTTATAATTAGGGAAACGCCGAGTTGGGCCGTTGTTGCAATTGTTTTACACATCGAGGAAGATCATCATTTTGTTTAAAGAATCTTTACTAGTGATATAAACTAGAGGCAGGATCGTCGTTAAAAATGGTGTCCAAATGCGTCCGTGAATTTATGGCGACGGAAATGTGTTACTCGTAGTTAAATTACAAGACGAGAAAACTTGTGAAGGAAAAAATGATCACCTATGAACTATATATAAGACGAGATAATCGTTTTTATTTCTTTACCAATGACTACTGACTAAAAACATTTCATTCAAATTGATTGTAGGAAATGGTCACGGTTTGAGTAATTTGTTCGTCACTAATTCATGTGTTGTTTGTTGCCAGTATGAAGGTGCGGCGAATGAAGGTGGCAGAACTCCAAGCATCTGGGACAATTACGCTCATCAATTCGCAAATAAGATAGCCGACCATAGCAATGGAGATGTGGCAACGGATTCTTATCACCGTTACAAGGAAGACGTTAAGATCCTGAAGGATTTGGGTTTTGAAGCATACCGAATATCGATATCATGGTCAAGAATTTTACCCAGTAAGTCAGTTGCATATCTCGCAAAAAAAAATTCCTCATATTTATGTTATGTTGAGATCAAGATTCGAACCAACAACGAATGCACAATAAAATGCACTGTATATGTTGATTCATCAGATGGAAAGTTGAGTGGAGGAGTGAACAAAGAAGGAGTGAAGTATTACAACAATCTCATCGACGAACTCCTCACAAATGGGATCCAGCCCTTCGTGACTATCTTTCACTGGGATCTCCCTCAAGCTCTGGAAGCAGAGTACAAGGGTTTCCTTAACCCTCGTGTCGTGTAAGTAAAACCATATTCCGATCAGGCCTTAATATCAAGTCAAATCGTCACAATAACTCGAGTTGTTATCAGATCTTCTATGCTCCGTTTCACTTGGTAACCTTTTGGCAGGAGTGATTTTCGGGACTATGCGGAAGTATTGTTCAAGGAGTTTGGGGACAAGGTGAAGAACTGGATCACAATCAACGAGCCACTGAGCTACAGCGCCGCAGGGTATGCGTATGGCTATCTTGCGCCGGGGAGGTGCTCCAGTTGGGTGCCCATGAACTGCACTGGCGGAGACTCGTCAACTGAGCCTTACATCGTCGGCCACCACATCCTCCTCTCTCATTCCGCCGCCGTCGATTTGTACAAGCAGAAATATCAGGTTTTTCTCCTCTTCATACTAGTTTTTGATTGATTCATTTTTCAGAAATAGGGTAGCTAGATGTTTATCATAAACGAACGGCTCTCGATAATTCGAGTTGTTGAGAGAAAATTAATTATAGATCTTACTTTCTTACACACTCCCACAAATGAAAGTCAACTCACGGATTTGAAATTTGCACATATCCACTATACCTTTTGCTTAAATCAACTATTAGTATTAAGAATTATGAAAATTCAAACCCACAACCGCTTGGTCAAATCTGCTCTGGTATCATGTCATGGTCCCACAATAACTCGAATTATTAATGAAATGTACACATGAATACTCTCTTAATCATTTGAGATTAATTTGTCTTTTTTTTGCTTTGGTTAATGGTTCAGGCAAGGCAGAAGGGTCAGATAGGGATCACACTAGTGTCTCCATGGGTAATTCCCTACACTAACTCCACTGAGAATAGGAATGCACAAGCTAGATCTCTTGATTTCAGTTTGGGCTGGTTTTTCGAACCCCTGACGAGCGGTTCTTATCCGCAATCGATGAGGACTCTCGTCGGCAAGAGGCTGCCCGAGTTCACGACACAAGAATCGGAGAAGATCAGAAGGTCGTTCGATTTCATCGGGATGAACTATTACACGGCTTCTTATGCAGTCGATACGCCTCTGTTTGGCTTCGCACCCCGGAGTTACATGACCGATTCACTTCTTAACACAACAGGTATATCTATCCATCGAGTATGATTTCTCGTAAACTATATTTGGTTTCAATAACTCGAACTATTAGGAGAAGGTTCATGTGAGGATCTTATATTACTTCTTGCATGCCCCTCAAAGTCAAATCATGGGATTGCACATGCTTGTCATATACATACCACGTGTTTAAATCAACGATTAATATGACGAGTTGTGAAAAGTGAGAACTTGAACACGAGATATCACAGTCAGGCAAGCTCTGATATCATGTCAAGAACCAATTGGTCCCAATAACTCGAATAATTGGACCAAACAGGTTTTTACATATTATCAGAGTCTGGTTTGCCCAAATAAGTGTGTATTCAATTTCCCCGACAATCAATATTAACATTTGACTTAAGCGCATGCAGTGGCGGAGGGAAAGCAAGAGGAGAGGGGCCCGAGGACCCCACTTGGAAAATTTTGGGGGGAAATTCTTTAGATAAATAGACTTGAGAATGATTATGCAAATATAGGACCCCATACATATTCACTGTTATACTTGTTGTTTTTAAGGACTCCAGTCAACTCAATGCTCATTAGATACATAGGTTTTATTGTTATTAATTTTTTAAGAACCACATTTTGTTTAAAGTCTGGCTGCGTGACTGAGCTCATGATATGGTGGATTTGTGTCTACTTCAAATTTATAAGTTGATTTTCATAAAAAATGACGTATAAAAATTATATAAGATTCATAATTAATCTTCACTCATTATTTAGACCAGTTGCTTTATTACACTATTAACAGTTTACTACACATCCGATGAACAATTAGTTGATGAAATTAATTTCATTCATTATTTAGACCAGTTGCTTTATTACACTATTAACAGTTTACTACACATCCGATGAACAATTAGTTGATGAAATTAATTTCGTTTTTTTCTTTCTGGCAGATAACCGTAATGGAGTCTCAATTGGACCAAAAGTGAGTATAATTAAATTATTTTGGTCGTCTCATTATGTTATGTGAAATAATTCATTTTCCTGTTAATTGCAGGGAGCTTCGAGTTGGCTAAATGTGTATCCCAAAGGAATATATGATATTTTGTCGTACATAAAGCGCAAGTACAACGATCCAGTCATTTACATTACAGAAAATGGTATAGCGAATCTATGGAACTGAAACCCTCGATCTCGTCGCTAATGAGTGCCTGTTAATAGCGACGACATTTTGGTTTTAACATAAAGACCGTTATTATGTCTGTATTCTTGATACCAGGGATTGATGAGCTCAATAACGACCAGGTGCTGCCGCCGGCAGAAGCTCTCCAAGACAAAATGAGGATCCGTTATCACCGCCGGCATCTGTATTACCTCCAGAAAGCGATCCGGTAACTTTCATAAACCATTGATTTTGTGTGCATACCAGAAAGTCTTGATACATAATTAAAAGTAACAAGCAAATAGCAAACGATTTTTTGGCATATAAATGCACATGTTTTGTTGTTCATTATTATATAATTGGAAATATAAAACTATTTTAGGATGGATCAGCATATGGTCAAATTGACGAAAATTGAAATCCACGACATACACCCAAATTCGAAAATATAATAGATCACGCACTTTTTTCATTGGTTGGCGGAAGTATTTTAAAATGTCACTTATCTAACACTAAATTATAATAAATCAAACACTAAATTCTAACAATACATGCACTCATATTTTAAAAATATTAAAATCACATTTTTAAAAAATGAGTATGAGCAGGGTGTGCAAAGATCCTGTCCAAAGTCATGAGAATCACGATCCAATAGTGAAAGACGGCATAGAACCAATGATCAGACCAACAATGCACTTTTTTCAGTTTGGTCTGGTTCAAATGTCAATTCAGTCCATTTTTCTTCAATATTTATTAGGGATGTGCAATAGGTTAGTTTTGTTAACTCGAATATAATTGCAATCTGACAAATCTTATTGAAATGATAAAGAGAACATAAATACTGTTTGTTTCAGCCTTGTAATTCGGCCTCCACACCTCTAACGACTAACTCACTACTCCTGAACTTCAGCAGCCATGATCTGCTTCTCTCCTGCAATCTCTCAACTAACACAACCACTAACAGGACTCAACTAACACAAAGCACAACTCTAGGACTTAACTGGTAATAAACCACTTCGACTGACACAGACTCTATTACTCAGAACGCTGTCGTTCCACTTATTGATATTTGAAACCTTGGCGCCTTCTTCAATCCTTCTCCTGAAAGGATTCGGATTCTTCCAGCAGCAGCAGACTCAACCTTCATCTTCCAACAAATCCTCCCCTGAACTGAAGCTCTTCAATTCCCCAGCTTCAGTTCATACCTTCAATCTGTTTTGACGACTTCTGTAAAATCGCACACACCAAGCTTGCTTCTCAACAGCTGAAAGGTTTCCAGCTTTAGAGGTTTAGTCATGATGTCTGCAACCTGCTCTTTGGTGTCACAATGCTCCAGATCCACTTCTCCATTTTTCACAAGATCTCGGATAAAATGGAACCTGACATCAATGTGCTTGCTCCTCCCGTGCAGCACTGGATTTCTTGACAGCTTAATTGCAGAGCTGTTGTCACACAGTATGACTGTTTTCCCAGCAACAGCAGCACCCCACCCAATGCTTTCAAGTACCTTCTTCAGCCACACACAATGAGCAACGCAATAAGCAGCAGCAACATATTCAGCCTCAGTCGTAGAAAGAGTAACTATGGGTTGCTTCTTTGAGGCCCAGGAGATGACCCCACCAGCAAGGAAGAAGGCATATCCACTTGTACTTCTTCTGTCATCAGCATCCCCTGCGTAATCACTGTCTGTGTAACCAAGGAGCTGATCCTCCCCATCTCCCTTGCTGTACCAAATTCCAAGACTGGCTGAACCCTTCAAATATCTCAGCACCCTTTTTGCAGCAAGCATGTGTTGCCTCGTAGGAGATTCCATAAACCTGCTCAACAGACAAACTGAATACATCACTTCTGGTCTTGTGGCAGTAACATACAAGAGACTTCCAATCAACTGCTTGTACTCAGTTGGATTGACAGGCACTCCATCTCCAGCCTTAGACAGTTTGATTCCAGGTGTGATTGGATTGGTTACAAAGTTGCAATCAGAGAGCCTGAACTTTTCCAGCAGATCCTTGATGTATTTCTGTTGACACAGAAATATTCCACTTTCAGTTTGATTTACTTCTATGCCCAGAAAATACCTCATTCTTCCAAGATCAGTCATTTCAAATTCAGCTTCCATCGAAGCCTTGAAACTGGTAATCATATCCTGATTGTTGCTGGTGTACAGTATGTCATCAACATACAGACTCACAATCAAAACTCCACTTCCACCCCTCTTGACAAACAAGGTGTGTTCATGAGGACACCTTTCAAACCCAGATTTCATAAAATAGGACTCAATCCTACTATACCAAGCCCTGGGGGCTTGCTTCAAACCATAGAGAGCTTTCCTGAGTTTGTATACCTTATGCTCCTCCCCAGCAACTTCAAAACCTTGAGGTTGCTCCAGGTATACATCTTCAGTAAGCTCCCCATGTAGGAAAGCACTTTTGACATCTAGCTGGTATACCACTAAACCATGATGTGCAGCTAAGGCCAAGATAGTTCTGATGGTGTCCCATCTGGCTACTGGGGCAAAGACTTCTGTGTAATCAATGCCTTGCTTCTGTGCAAACCCCTTGGCCACTAATCTGGCCTTTTGCTTATCTAGGTCACCATCCTCCTTTAGCTTAGTCTTGTATACCCATTTACAGCCAATTGCCACTGCACCTTCAGGAAGTTCAACCAGATCCCAAGTTCTGTTCCTTTCAATCGAATCAAATTCTTGGTTCATTGCTGCTCTCCACCTTGGATCTTTATTTGCCTCCTCAAATGTCTGAGGATCATCAGCTACTGTCACCATGACTAACCAGTCTGTGTCCGCAAAGCTGCAGTCATAGATGGAGAGATGAGATGGTGGATGCCTGGATCGAGGTGGTAGACCCAGCACATCAGTTTGAGATCCAGAGCCCTCTCCATCTGAGTTAGTGACAGTTTCTGGTTCTTCTGGTGTCTTTGGACTTGATGGTTGACTTGTCTCATCATCAGTTGGGGCTGCTGTACTCCCTTCTGTTTCAACTTGCTCCTCTACTTCTGTATCAGAATCAGCCCAATCATCATCACATCCATCCCAGATCAGTTGTTGTAGCTCTGGAGAGTCTTCTGCAATGTTGCTCCAGCCTTCCAGTTCATCAAAAACCACATCCCTACTCACCACCACTTTCTTTGTGAGTGGATTGTAAAGTCTGTATGCCTTTGACTCACTGGCTATCCCAAGAAAAAAGCATTTAGAGCTCTTATCATCCAACTTCTTTCTCTTTTGATCTGGAATATGAACATAGGCCACACAACCAAAGATTCTAAAATGAAGAACTGATGGAATGCCACCAGTCCACAACTCTTGTGCTGTCTTACCATGGTTAGCTGAAGTGGGACTCCTGTTGAGTACATGGGTGGCCCAAGTAACAGCTTCAGCCCAAAAAACCACAGGAACCCTTGTATCTTGCAACATACATCGTACCATATTCATCACAGTTCTATTTTTCCTCTCAGCCACCCCATTCTGTTGAGGTGTGAGAGCTGCAGTTAACTGTCTTCTTATACCAGCTTCATCACAGAGATCTTTGAATTCTTTTAGCATGAATTCCCCTCCCCTGTCTGTTCTGAGACTTACAATTGACATACCAGTCTCTTTCTCTACTTGTGCTTTATACTTTTTGAACCAGTCCAAGGTCTCAGATTTAGCAGACAAGAAATACACCCACAATTTTCTACTATAGTCATCAGTCAAGGTGAAGATGTACCTCTTTCCACTGTTGGATGCTGGTGTGAGAGGGCCACAGAGATCTGCATGGACTAATTGAAGCTTGTTGGAAGCTCTCCACTGGCTCTTCTTAGGAAACGCTTGTCTGTGTTGCTTCCCAACTAAACAAGTTGAGCATACTCCATTTTCTCCTTTCAACTGAGGAAGTCCCTGAACCAGATTCTTCTGTTGCAAATGGTGCAAACTTTGAGTGTTTATGTGCCCAAATCGTCTATGCCACAGATTCAAGGTAGAGCTGGCTGTTTTTGTTCCAGTTTGCAGACATTGAATGTCTTTGGATGGATTCCTGAACCCTGCAGAAGTGTGCAGGACAAACATCCTATTCGATTTCATCTCAGTCTCCAGCATTAATCCTTTCTCAGGATGATATATCTTGCAACTACCATCCTTGATTAAGAAAGACAGACCTTTCTCTTGCCATTGGCCCACACTCAGTAAGTTTGTTCTCAGTCCTGGAACATAGAACACATCCTGCACAATTACAGAAAGTTGATTGACAACCAACCTCACACTTCCTTTCCCAGCCACACTCAATTTTGAGTTGTTTCCCAGTCTAACATTGCAGGTAAAGTTAGAATCCATCTCAGTAAACCACTTTTGTTCTCCAGTCATATGATTGGAGCAGCCTGAGTCAAGAAACCACCAATCTGGATTCTGAGTATCAGATGGTTCTTGCACAAAAGCCATGAAGCAATCAGCTTCCTTCTCTTTCTCTTCATCAACCAGATATTCAACCCTGGCCATCAGCAACATGTCATCCTTCATGTCTCCATAGGACTGATTATCTTGTATATAGCTTGAACTGGAATAGTGAGCTTGCTGGTTGTTGTACCATTCTGGACACTCATTTCTGTAGTGTCCCAGTCTATGACATTTATAACATTCCACAGCTTCTTTATTCCAGTTTCTACCTCGACCCCTTCCTCTACCAGGAGACACACCTCTTCCTTGACCTCTTCCTCCCCTGCCACCAAAATCATGGGATGTCCTGAGTACTTGATCCTCTTCTGCAGCTTGCCTCTTTGTAAACTTCTGTTCATGTACCACAAGAGAACTCTGAAGAGCATCAACAGACAACTCTTCAGTGTTCTTGGACTCTTCTATGGAGCAAACCACAAAGTTGAACTTATCAGTTAGAGTCCTAAGTATCTTTTCAACAATATAGACATCAGGCATCTCATCCCCACAATTCCTCATGGCATTAGCTATAGTCATAACCCTGCTGAAATAGCCATTAACAGACTCTCCTTCCTTCATTTCTAGTATCTCAAAGTTCCTTCTGAGGGCCTGCAGATTTGATTTCTGAACCCTAGCATTGCCTTGGTATTTGACTTTCATAGAATCCCAGAGATCTTTAGCAGTACCTTTCTTGGAGATGGTCTTGAGAATGGTTTTGTCGATGGAGCTAAAGAGGTAGTTCTTAGCTTTTAGATCCTTCAACTTCAGATCCTCTAGAGCTTTTGTCTCAGCATCAGACAGCTCTCCATCTTCTTTCTCACTGAATCCATGTTGCACAACGTTCCAATACTCTTTGGAACGAAGCAGGTTCTCCATCAAGAGGCTCCAGTGATCATAATCACCATCAAATCTTGGGAGGCCTACCTGAGCAAAGCTTCCTGATTCACTCATCTTGACAGTCACACACTTGATCTACTTGACAGCAGATCTTCACTCACCCAGTATTTGATAATACCTCACAGATCTCTCGTGTTTCCCAGACCCAATCTGCAGTTGACAGCAGAATCTCACTCTCCTTACTCTCTAAAAGTTTGCTTGAAAGCTTTTGGTTACAGCTTGCTCGAGCTCTGATACCACAATGTTAACTCGAATATAATTGCAATCTGACAAATCTTATTGAAATGATAAAGAGAACATAAATACTGTTTGTTTCAGCCTTGTAATTCGGCCTCCACACCTCTAACGACTAACTCACTACTCCTGAACTTCAGCAGCCATGATCTGCTTCTCTCCTGCAATCTCTCAACTAACACAACCACTAACAGGACTCAACTAACACAAAGCACAACTCTAGGACTTAACTGGTAATAAACCACTTCGACTGACACAGACTCTATTACTCAGAACGCTGTCGTTCCACTTATTGATATTTGAAACCTTGGCGCCTTCTTCAATCCTTCTCCTGAAAGGATTCGGATTCTTCCAGCAGCAGCAGACTCAACCTTCATCTTCCAACAAGTTTGTCCAGACCATACCGAACCAAATCGATTCAATGTGGTTTGGTCCACCGAACCAGACAGTTGCACACTCTATGTACGAGTGTGTTATATAAAATTCCATTCATCAACCCCTAACTTATATTGGGCTTTTCATTTGGCAGTGATGGAGTTAACGTAAAGGGCTATTTTGCTTGGTCATTGCTGGACAATTACGAATGGACAAGTGGATACACTACTCGATTTGGACTATTTTATGTGGACTTCAAGAATGGGCTTGCTCGATATCCCAAACAATCCGCCAAGTGGTTCAAAGGTTTCTTATCCCAATAGTGTTCATCATCCACCAAAACCCCTAATTTTATCCAAACCTAGAAACTATCCTTGTTTCTCATATCTTTGTTCTTTGATCCTTTAATCAAAGTTGTTGCAGGTTCTAATGGCATTAAGAGACAATCTTCCTTTTTTCTAACTTAGTAAGCTTTCATGTTAAGTAGAAGTAGGTTTAATTGGGTGTAACTGGGAGGGTGAAATTCGCAATTTTATGCATTGAAGAAATGCATTGTTTTTCATCAAGATTATTGATGTATTTGGGTGCAGTTACAATTTCACAATTAATATCAATATTATACAATATCATATACTTTTTTTTGAAAGAGATACACCGATGGCGTCTTAATTTGTATTAGACATCAAACATTATTGGGTTATACTCATTACATCAAAGAGATCTATTAGCTAAGCCTCGGGTCATACACATCGATAGGATGTATACCAAAATGAAAGACATGGCAGAATAGATTTTTTCGATGTATTCCATAACAACCTCTGCTTGTCTTAGGCTAGCATAACAAAAATGACTAGTTCATCAACAAAGAAAAGGTAAGACTAATCAAGTCCATCCTTTTGATAGTCTAATGGGTTTCC